TGGGAATAAGCTGTAAGCTCAATAGGTTAATCGCGCTTGGATGATGGAAATTCCCAAAGCATTTTCTTCAGAAATATAATATCTCTACTAACCATCTAATTCTAACATGTGATCACTCTCACCATATGAGGTGAAGAATGTGTATCGCCAAAGGTGGACTATGGGATCATAATATCCTCGGTGATTATTCGGTACTTTCCCCTTGAAGTGTTATACGTTAGCTATTGTCTCGGCAATAATTTGAATATCACTAGAATAAATATTTTTTTCGGGGTTACGGTAGGTTAAGCTTATTTGTTCTCATGATAATAATTAAAGAGCCCTTATCGAAAAATGTTCCCTTACTCATTTAATTTCAAGTATTTATTCGACCAATGCACAACCATAGGTACAAAACAAATTTAATCAGGGACAGCTGAAGCAATAGGACTATGGGATCATGATATCCTCGGTGATTATTCGGTACTTTCCCCTTGAAGTGTTATATGTTAGCTATTGTCTCGGCAATAATTTGAATACCACTAGAATAAATAATTTTTTCGGGGTTACGGTAGGTTAAGCTTATTTGTTCTCATGATAATAATTAAAGAGCCCTTATCGACAAACTTTCCCTTACTCATTTAATTTCAAGTATTTATTTAAAGTTACAAATTGGTTTAAATTAAACAAGCTCTCCCTTAATATTTCAAAAACAAATTTTATTCTGTTCAATTATAAAATTAAAGCTTCTATTAATGACCACATTTGTATGGATAATTATAATAGGGGCCTATATCTCGTGTCAACGAAACTAAATTCCTTGGTTTTACAATAGATAAAAAATTAACTTGGAAACCTCACCTTAATAGAATTAGTAATATTTCATGAAACATTGGCATTATGAATAAACTCAAATACACACTCTAATATACTAATAACTAATAACTTATATTACTAATATACTAATAACTTTATATAATACCTTAGTTTTACCGTATATGTCATATTGTAATTTAATTTGGGCCGTAACTATCGGTAAATTTAAAAACCTTATGTCCATGGACAAGCTTTGAATCTACACATATTGATCACCTGTTCAAATTACAAAAGAGAGCCTTAAGAATTTGTGATGGTTTATCATTTCAATATCACACTAAACCTTTATTTTTTTAAGTTTAATGTTTTGAATATCTACGACATTAATAAACTTCAAACGGCTCTATTTATGTATCGTATTCACAATTTTAATTATTCCCCTCATATTTCTTCTTTATTTGTTAAATCATCTGATAACCATGCATATAACACTAGACATGCAGATAATTACTTAACTGAAACTTTCACTACAAATCTTAAAAGCAACTCAGCTTTATATACTGGTCCCAACCTTTGGAATACTCTCTCGATTTCTTTGAAGAACAAACCATCCATTGAAAATTTTCAATCTTCACTCAAGAAGTCTTTGGTGTCTATATATGGTGAGTAATTGCCGAACATGCGTGATCGAATCTTGAATCGGCTACTTGCATTATATTCCATTCCATATAGTATATGTTTTATTCATTTATTGATTTACGTATTTAATTATTTACTTATTATTATTATTATTATTATTAATATTATTATTATTATTACTATTATTAACAGTACATATTTCTTGAATATATATATATACATGTATGTATGTGTGTATGTGTGTGTATGTATGTGTATATGTGTATATATATATGTGTGTGTGTATGTATGTATGTATGTATATATATAGGCCTATATGTATATATATTTATATATATATATTAATCATAATGTTGTACATGGAGGTCAACCTTAAAGTTCTTTGAACTTTTTTGACCTTCATCCACACACGTTTATTTTTATATTATTTAAGTAATTTTAGCTATATTATTGTATGTTTAATTGTATATGATTTGATGTGTGTGGAAAAATTAAATAACAAACTTACCTTCTACTCTTTTTTCCATTTCTTTTTCCCCCTTTCCTTTATTTCCTTTACCTTTACTTCCCTGTAATTTCTTTCTTTACCTTTACTTCCCCAACCCTTTTTCCTCCTTACATTTTTCATTTTTTTGTGTTTTCATGTTTAATGTTTGCAACATTTTATCCTGATGTTTAAAATTAAATTAATTTCTGGTTTTATGTTCAATATCTCAATTCTCATTAAGCTTAAAGATAATAAACAGGATATTGATAAATCTCGTTTTCTATTATAAAAACTGGAAATTTGCTGTCATCTGAACGAAAATTCGACTGCATTATATTTGTTCTTGTTTATTATTATTATTATTATTATTATTTTTATTATTACATTTTTTATTATTTGTATTGTTATAGTTGTAATTTCACTCTTATATTCAAACGCATGGTTGTTGCCATCATTCTTCATTTTTCTTAGAATTATCATCATCATTGTTAGTATTATTATTATTATTATTATTATTATTATTATTATTATTATTATTATTAATATTATTATTATTATTATTATTACCATCATCATAATTATTTAACCACCCCTGAACAGGAACTAGATTGTGGCGCTATAAAATATTCGATTTTGACTGGATTGGATTATTATGATGATAACAACAAAATGAAGGATGAACGTAGCTTCTTAATGAAATACGTCATCCAGTTCTTATAATGCCACTTGAATAAAGATGGGATTAACTGTAGTGGCTTCATTTCTTTAGTATTGTAGGCCCTACTTTATCGGGATAATAAAGGATTTGCTGTAGAATGTAGACTTCCAAAAATGTATCGGAAGTGTATCCTGTAGCATTAATTTATAATTGAAACGGACAAGTTAAATAAAATAAGTAGCTTTTACATGTAGGATGTAGGATGGAACACAAACTGTTCTTAATAAAGTGGGGCTATAGCTTGTGTAGGGGTCTTAATAGCTTAGTCATTAAGATACTTGACTTCTAATCTCACGGTTCTAGGTTCAAATCCGCGATTAAAAACAACTGTAAGCTTCATACTTCGTGGAGACTTTTCATAAAATTAGCTAATTTTTGGAAGAGAAGGAAATCAATTTCAAAAAAACAAAATCGGCGTTAAAATGACCTTTAAAACACATAAATGTTATTAGGCCTACTATACTTTATAAATGTTGTAGAGTTGTTTTATGGAACTATTTGATAAAATATTAATTACACGGCCTACTGTTGGTAGGCCTATACTTGAGCTTCAAAAGTGCTGGTAAACGGAGCAGTATTGCTGGTTTTTCCGCTTTGGGTTAGTTTGTATGTTATTTACTTGTTTAGTTTTCCGATTTTATTTATTTTCCGCCCTTGAGTATTTCTTAAAATGGATATGAGCGCTATTCAAGTCTTATTTATCATTATTATTTATTATATATATTCAAGGATTTTTATTTCTAATGTATTTAGGCTTTTATCAAAATGCACTTAATCGAGATCAAACTATTATTATTATTATTATTATTATTATTATTATTATTATTATTATTATTATTATTAAGGATAATGGAATCAGAATAATATGTCTGACACGTTTAGTCATTAAGACACCCATTTAAGCCTGAAACCTGACCTGTTAAATATATTATTAGGCCTACACAATGTAAGAATAGGAAATTAAATGTTTATATATTTATTTTGCTAAATAACATATTTTTCTTTATAATTCAGTGATGACGTCATCACTTTCATTTGCACTGAATTTTCCTATTCCCGACTGAACACTAATTCGATATTTGCATCTCGTGTGCCAAAAGCTCAAAGCTGTGGTGATTTTACATCGCGGCGAATATTTCGTTGCTAGGGCAAGCAATGTATTCGAATCTCAACATTAAACATATCGAATTTGCAAATTTCCGTATTTACCCAACAATAGCTTAGAAGAAATCATTTTATAATAAGCTGGATATATTATCATGTCATTTGTTTAATATCCCCATAAGTGAAGAAAGAATACCGTAGCCTAGCAAAACTGTGTTCTTGACCTTTCGTCTTAACCTTTCATCTTGAGACATTCTCAACACCGTCACAATTCTTCTCAGAATTTCAAGTCATGCTTTCAATATTGATATTGAAAAAAGTGACCATTAAAAATATTAGCTTTTTTGTGCCTAATAATAATATTTTGTAAATCGGCAAGAAAAATACAGAAAGCAAACATTGCGATTACTCGCGTGATCAGATATGATTTTTACTAACGCTTGATGTGAAAAAAAAACAATATTTTGAATTAATTTTTTCTTAGTTAACGTATTAAGTACCTTGATTAAAACGAATTTTGGAAAAACCCAAAGAATTTTGTTACTGACGTAGTATTTCACAACGTGACTTGTAAGACGGTCAGTGACTTGTAATCCCGGAAATCCCTGTCTCTTATACACATCTAGATGTGTATAAGAGACAGGGAAATTTGCTGTCATCTGAACAAAAAACATATCGAATTTGCAAATTTCCGTATTTACCCAACAATAGCTTAGAAGAAATCATTCTATAATAAGCTGGATATATTATCATGTCATTTGTTTAATATCCCCATAAGTGAAGAAAGAATACCGTAGCCTAGCAAAACTGTGTTCTTGACCTTTCGTCTTAACCTTTCATCTTGAGACATTCTCAACACCGTCACAATTCTTCTCAGAATTTCAAGTCATGCTTTCAATATTGATATTGAAAAAAGTGACCATTAAAAATATTAACTTTTTTGTGCCTAATAATAATATTTTGTAAATCGGCAAGAAAAATACAGAAAGCAAACATTGCGATTACTCGCGTGATCAGATATGATTTTTACTAACGCTTGATGTGAAAAAAAAACAACAATATTTTGAATTAGTTAACGTATTAAGTACCTTGATTAAAACGAATTTTGGAAAAACCCAAAGAATTTTGTTACTGACGTAGTATTTCACAACGTGACTTGTAAGACAGTCAGTGACTTGTAATCCCGGAAATACCATGAAAATTATCTGATTGGTTGAAAGTAGACCACAGAGATAGACATCCGTAGATCAGTTCTCGTATATAAAACTGCAACTGATGGAACTTACGTTAGTAGTACGCGCTGGTGCTTTCAAAAAGCAACCTAAAGTTGTTGATATCCGTAGCAACTTGGTGAGTTTAGAATGATTGTTTTTTTTTTTTGTTTTTTTTGTTTTTTTTTCAAAATTAGATAAAGCTTGAAAATACAATAATAGTACTTTTCAAACATTATACAAATATTCCTCCTTAATTAAAATGTATTTTAAAATACATTTTTATGTATTTTAAAATGTATTTTTGCAGAAGCGAAGCTGATCCTAGATTTAGAAATTGTGTCGATCGGGCTTGAGTAAAATAACTTTATTTTTAATGTTAACTTACAATATACCAATTGTCATTGTTTATAATTTTATTTTATTATTTTATAAGTCTAAGTCTAACGCATGTATGAGTAGCTAGTTAGTTCAATCTCAGTTGGTGATTAAATCAATTTGTAGGACACATTGGTAGTAGATGTTGCCATATTCCTCAAGTCACAATTATTCTCAGTACTTTCCTGATCATAATTGACTAATATTACGAAATGCCCTTGATCCACCTATTGGTCCTAGGCCTAAAATGTACATCACGTTTTAATTTCTACGAAAACTTGCAAATATGATGTTAATGCGCATGACCAGAGAACTTCACTATCATTGAAAGAAACGTTAACAAATAATCTTAATTGATAATATGTTTTGCTTCTGAATGACTACAGTCAACAGAATACTTTGTGAAATTCTTTTAGGCTAAAGACCCACTTGTTCTTGAACTCTAAATAAAGATATTTAAGTTCTAAACTCACTTAACCTTGTATAAGTCCATCTAAGTCACCGCGAGAGAACTAAATGGGTCCAGACACAAATGTATTCAAATTAGACAGTTGATCCAAAGACGGGTTTAGATTATCTTTTAGATATTTATAAACTCTATACAGTAACTTTAAAATAAAGTTATTTGATTTACATCATAGTATTCTCTACATAGTTTAAATTATTGTTTTAAAACTTAAAAAGTTCAATGCCAAAATACAATACAAGATTTAAGTATGCTAATAATTTGTACCTACGTAACAAAAATAACATAGCCACTGGCCAGTTTGCAATGTCATTTGCAGGTGCGAAACTCTGGAATAACCTGCCCTGTGATTTAATAAGCAATTAGTAGAGCTCCGCATAGTACACTATAGGAAAATTATTATACGAAGTTTAGATTTAATGCTTGGAAAAAAAAAATTGCTTGAAATTTTTGAATGCATTAAATCTAACCTAAGTATAATAATTTTCCATTTAGTGTAGCTTTATAAGTCAATCGCCGTCTTTTAATTTTAGTTTTTTTTATAACCAACTGTTGTAGCAGTCATCGGTTGCTATAGTGATATGATCAGTATACGTGTGCGTATTTTACATTTAGCTGTGCGTATGTTGAATTTTGCTCCTGCAGTACGCGTTTAACTACACATCAATAGTACGTCAGTACGGATACGATGAATAACTATTGTAATTTGTATTGTGTTAGAAAGAACTTGTTTGTAATGCTATTTTGATAGACTTTCGCCAAAGAAATAAACATTTCAGCATTCGAGAGAGAATACAGTCACTGACGTCCTTTTTGGTCGGTGCATGCAGACAGGTAAAATCGTGCGATGATTTCATAACTAGGCTACGGCCTAGTAGTAGCCTAGTAGGAGGAGGCCTGGGCGGCCTCCTGCCTGGCCGTAGGCCTACATCTAGATTCGTTCCTTGAGTCTTGTCCTATTAAATGTCCAGTTTGTTGTGTTTATGAGGGTCCATTGATTCAATGAATTCCTTAATTGTTCATACTTAATATTGAATTTGAAGTTACTTTCTTCGGGTTCTAATTAAGCCTGTTTTACGAAAGTATTTTCAATTACAATTCAATTTTCGTCGCGGTGCGCGATGTCTTCGCGGTGACGAAAAAATGAGGATTTTTTTTTGCACACGAGCCTAAAAAATCAAGCCGAGCATCCACTAATTGAAAAATTAGTGGACGGTGGCGAATAGGCAAATAAAATTGGGAGTTACAGTGATGACGTCACAATTGACTTATAATAGATTTGATATAATAGTCTTAATATTATTCTATACGTTTTGTCAATTATTCAAAGATTTCATACTGTACATTTTCATTATCATTATGATTTTAATCAACAGGTGTGCGTACAAACATGAGTATCAGAAACATATATCGTTCCACGACACAGACGAAGGTAGACCCCATTAGCGATGATGACAAGATTGCCATCACGGGGATTGGATGCAGGTACGGCGATGGAGTGGCGGGTCCTAGGGAGATTTGGGATATGTTGAAAGAGAAGAGAGACTGCACAGGCCCACCTCCACCCAATCGGTTTGACAAATCAATCTTCTTCTTTCCCGGTGAAAAGAAAAAAGGGAAAGTGTACACCAAAGCTGGTGGGTATCTGAAACAGAATCCTGAGATGTTTGATCGACAATTCTTCAAAATGTCTCCAGGTAAGTCGTTATTATCTATTTATAGAAGAGTAATTTTTCATTTGATGAATTTAGTCATAACCGTACCGTACATGAACAAAACTGATAATGTCATTAAGAGTACCGACCAGACGGATGTGGATTACCAATAAGCTAACATAATATCTATTAAAGTGGCTCTCCGGGGCTATTGAAAATACATATTCAACATGCTTATATATAAGCTTAGCTTTTAATTTTATCTATTTCTTTAGTAGATAAAAAACTATACATAAACAATGATGTCTGACTACCAAGAAATCCTTTATTAGAAATAAATAACGGCATGGACCAACTACTATACAAAAAACCCCTCTAAATATAATAGTACAGTCTAATAATTGAAAGATCTGAGTTTTCTAGATCTGAAAATATCTGAGTTTTCTAGAACTAGAAAACTTAGATCTGAGATCTGAGTTTTCTAAATCGGATGTTTCTAGACAACCCATTGTCAAAATATATAAAAGAGTACCTACTGGTTCAAACCTGTCAGAATTACCAACACGTAACTTTAAATGCAACAACTCTATTTCATGAGAGCTCCAAGTGTGGACTTAACTACCGATATTCAGTTGAATATTGTTAGTATAGTCAATTGACCAATCATAATATCTTATTTGGAAAGTGCACTTTTACATCATAAGGAGTTCAAATAAGGTCAAGTACATCCAAAACAAATGAAATAAAAATATGCTCATAATCATACTAGTGTATTATGTAGAGTAGTACAAAGTGCAATCAAATTAATAATTACTTATTGTTCTGATTTTACTCCTCTTTTCTCATGCATTGGCTGTAGGCCTATAACAAAAAGTATGAGCAGAACATTCTCGATCATTTTTAATTGTTATCAATGAGATGTTCAAGTATTGTTCTTTCTACCTTTTCTGATGATACTGTCTGAAAAACAGGGAGTATTTTTAACTTCCCTTAACAGTGGCGGACCGGGGAATTTAAAATAAAAGTGCCCGGAGAGTGTTTTACAGACTTTTTTAATTTACAGGCCTAAAGAACCCCGCCTCTGCTCAGAATATAACTGGCCATCTTTAATTGCAATTTTTTTAATTCATCAATATTTGCATATTCATTGAACGCCATATAGCGGATGTGTAATGAATATTTGTATTTTATCAACAATATTTTTCAGTAGCATACTGTTTTTAAATTAGTATAGTAAATTATTTGAGATAACGTGACTTCATAAGTAAGTATCCATTGAGGTATTTGTAAATACGTCTTTTTCAACTCATCTCCCTATTCTTTAAGGACGAAATTTCATAAAATCCTCTTCTAGGTTGGCGCCGTCACTAGACGACGAGCCCTGGAAAATCTTTTTTGAGAGGTTTTTTTTGGGTTCCAGTCTCTAATCTTTGTCTTATTCAGTAAAAAAGTTGGGAAATCGATTTTGGCACCAATGGCGTTCCATATTACATATTTGCTTGGCGTTTCATAGCTAATACTAGGAAAACCTATAATTAGAGACTTGTGGCAAGTCTACTTCGTGTAGAAAATTCGATCAGACCAACGAGTTTTCCAGGAACTCGGAAAGCACCATTTTCAGCACCATTGGTAATTGTTTATCTCACCAGGGAGTTGTTAGAGTGACAACCCGGTATTAGACTCAATCAACGCTGCTTTAATATAATACGTTGCATTATGGTTTGTTTATTGTTATAGTTTATTGTTATAGTCTTTTTACTTAAGGTTGCTCTGAAAAGGGCCGTTTGTTTTGAAAATTTTCGGGGTTTTGATGACGTCATCGTCGATACGAGGCGTACTTAAAACCGAGGGTTCGTATAACTGGGGTACGTAAAAACGAGGTTCTACTCAACAATGAGATTATTCAAAGGCTTATCTTAGTGTTTTTGATGATTAAATACATTCCTTTAGGCCTATGCTTACTCATCATGTTGACTACAGCATAGTTACCAACCTGAGAGATTTGAAATGCGTGACTATACCTGTTGAATGGGGGGGGGGGGCGCCGCCAGGGTCCCCCCTTATCCTGGGGCGGAACCTCGGTGGGGGCCCGGGTTCTTGTCACATAATCAACGATGCGAGACGGTTGGTAACTATGACTACAGTGTTACAGAACAAACAGAATGCTTGGTAAATCTTTGCGTCATTATAATTCTTCATAATCTAAAACCTAATCGCCACGTCAGACCTTTAATAGGACCATTTTTTAAAATTATTATGGCAGAGTCAGTTTTAATTCTGTATTGTCATCTCAATCGAAACGAATCAAAAGAATGCAATCTAAATTGTTATGATTCATCAATTTGAATAGAAAACAGTTACACCATCTAGCCCCTCTTTATATAAAATACAGTAGTATTTCCCAGACTGACCTTACAATAGTTATCTTGTCAACGCATTATAGCGATAAAGCCAGTCTATTTCAGTTGAGATTTTTTTTTCTTTCTATATTCCATAGTTATCCATAGTTACTCAACTATCTAGGTATGCCTTTTATATAGTTATATTATTTCATTTGTTATGTTTAACTCAAATATTTAACAATAAAGTATTTGTAATTCTTTATTTTAAACGTTTTTATTTTTAACCTCGAAACCTTGTAGAAATAGTGTACCGGGATGGTGTCCGGCGGTATAGTTTTACCTGCAGTGAAGTAGGAACTTTTTTTGTACGGGAATCATATCAGGCCCGTAGCCAGGTCATTCAAGGAGAGGTTCTCTGGGCGTGGGGTCCAGGGGACTGCCTGAGGGCCCCGGTGGGGTCGGGGCGAAGCCCCCGAAGCCAGAGCAGTTTTTGTGTTTAATGGGTCTATATAATGTTATAAAAGCAGTTACGTGTTGAAAAAGATCTATGTAATAAAAGGTGGTAATATAATAAAATTGGAAAATATTTTCTGAGAATTGGCATTTTTATCACACCGAAAGACAAAAAAAAAACCTCATCGCACAATCAATATCAATATACTCAACACATTTATTATTATAAAACAAAACAAGCTATTATATAGGCCTATAAAGTAAATTACAAAGAATTATGTACTTATTATTATAATATATAAAACCTTTAAGAAGTTTTGTCTTGTATTAACTTAAATAATGAATCTTCCATTAGGCCTATATAAAAAAAAATAGAGTTGCCTGTTACAAAATAAAGTAGAAGCTGAACTTCTTCTTGACTCTCATCTTGTACACTGAAAATAATAGTACTATTTTTACTACATGGCCAAAAAAGCACAAATATTGTCATTACTACAACTGACAGGGCCATCGTTAAATTAAGTCAGATCCCAAAATATAGCATTATACTGAATACGTCATCTGACATCATGGGAACCTAAACTTTAATTACAATTATTTGTTTACTAGGCCTAATTCGAAATTATTTTTTTGACTTTAACCTAATACATACTGATTAATAATAGCTGAGATTTGATGCACATTTCAGAATTAATAATCGTTTTTAGTATCTTACTAAATATTTATTGTCTTCCAAATGAAATATGAATTATATATGAATTTTATAGAAATACAATTTCTACAGTATTAATCTTGTTTTTATATAGATAAATGTTCGATAAATACTATCTGTCATAAAACAAACGAAATTCAGAGCGTCTATTTTCATTCCAATCAATGGCGTTTGTAAACATGTGCACTGACGTCATCGTCTAATCCCAGGACTTTCGACGGCAAAGCTGGCCTGCCTGCCTAGGTCCCAGGCCAACCAATAATAATTTAACAAAATGTATCATTTTTTTTAAATATAGGCCTACGGCGCATCCTGTACATGCACTTCAACTTTTACAACAAAAGCTAGGCCTACGTCCTACTGTACTTAAGCCTAGGCCTATACTAGCTTGATGTCGTCGGGGTATAATTCTGTCTCTAAATACAGCGTGACCACTAGGAAAAATCAGAATTCAAGATTAGGTCTAAAAAATCCCAAGATTGCTTTTAAAAACCCAAGATTCGCAAAATATTAGTATATATACATAAACTTCATTTAAAAGTCCTTCATTTTAAAGCTTTTTCAATGAATTATATACTGTACAGTAT